AGGACAATTTGGGTTTTTCCAGTAGTCCTTGAACTGAAACAACCAATATCCCCTTGGTTTTTAAAGCAATGGAAGACCAGGGTTATTGCAGGCTAAATTTAACAGTCGTAGTAGTAGAATTTTCAGCCTCTAGTTGCTGTTTCAGCCATAGACAGCAGTGGGAGGCTGTTGTGATACAAATGCGGCTGTTACCGAACAACCTTGTCTTTAGTTTCATCTGCAAAATGCTGGAGGATATGACACATACCTGGTTTGGGCCCCAGTGTGGATTTTTGCACCTCCCCGCCACTTCCTCCCTCCCACTTCCACATGTTTATCCGTTTAAATATCCCTGGCAAGTATAGCAAGGTTTTTAAATTTCTCTTTCTTTTTAGTGTTTTACACCGATATGTTGTGTATCCTAGAGCAGATTATGTCCTTATAATGTTGTTTGATCTCTGGATTGTAAATAAAGAAGAGTTATGATGATGGCTTACCATATTTACTCAAAAGGAAGACCGTCCTGAATGTGATACAACCGCTCCCTAAAATGTTATACACGAAAAGAATGTATGGCTGTTACCGAACAACCTTGTCTTTAGTTTCATCTGCAAAATGCTGGAGGATATGACACATACCTGGTTTGGGCCCCAGTGTGGATTTTTGCACCTCCCCGCCACTTCCTCCCTCCCACTTCCACATGTTTATCCGTTTAAATATCCCTGGCAAGTATAGCAAGGTTTTTAAATTTCTCTTTCTTTTTAGTGTTTTACACCGATATGTTGTGTATCCTAGAGCAGATTATGTCCTTATAATGTTGTTTGATCTCTGGATTGTAAATAAAGAAGAGTTATGATGATGGTTTACCATATTTACTCAAAAGGAAGACTGTCCTGAATGTGATACAACTGCCCCCTAAAATGTTATACACGAAAATAATGTAATTATTGGGCGTAATTGTAACTTGTATGCCAATGTAAGAGGACCCCTCTTTTCACAATGGTTTATTGCAGGGGGCAGTTTTGCATTTGAGTAAATACTGTAGTTTTTAAAGCTACATCTTAAGAAAACAAACAACCCCCACCCACCCCTTGAAACATTGTTCTTGGCAAGGAAGGGAGGGAGGTTGGGCTGGAGCTTTATGATTGCCACAATAGCCAGCTAATCAGCGCTTGGCACAGCCAGTTTTATTTAGTGTATTTCTCCCCATGTACAGAATTTCCCCCGCCTCCCTTTTTACTACCACAACAGTCCTGTGAGGTAAATTAAGTCTGAGGGAGACCAGGCCCAGAGTTACCCACTGAGGTTTCTGTCAGAGTGGTGATTTGAATCTGGGTCTCCCAGATCCCACTTGAACCTCAGCAGCATGCTGGTTCTCAAAAAAATAGGAACAACCACTCCATGCTGAGTCCTGTTTGCTGTGGAATTTTGTCTGTTTGTCCTCTCATCATCAGGTGTGCTGCTCAGACTCAGAACGCCTGCCTTTACCTCTAGTCTTGAACGTGTCCAGTGTTCCTCTAAAAGGACAGTAGCCCCAAACTTCATTTTGCTAGCTATTTTCATCCCTGCCCCTTTCTCTGTCAAAATGCAAAATACGTAAGGCTTTTCTTCCTGGATCGGTGTGTGTGTGTGGGGGTGCAGTACAGATTTCACTAACTTGGAAGTAGGAACCAGCCATCAAAGGCCATGAAGCAAATCTTCACAAAGGCCCTAGAGCAGGGTTCCCCAAACTTTTTGAGCCCAAGGGTTTCTGACACAGCATGGTGGGTGCAGCCACAAAATGGCTGCCACAAAATGACTTCCACAAGATGGCTGCCAAAGGAGGCAGGGCCAGCCACAGTATGGCTTGCACAGGTTACTTTCTGCCATAGGGTTGCCAGGTCCTACTAGACCTGTGTCCGGGGGGGGGGGGGGGGGACTCCTGATCATTCCTAGTGTTCTTCTGGTGTGCACGCTTTGCATGCGCACCGCAATGATGTCACCTGGAACTGGCATGATCACGTTTCTGCCGTTGGGGGCAATGCTCTAGGTTTCGGGCAAAACTCTATGGTTTTTTGGGCCTCAAAACCATAGAGTTTTGCCCAAACCCTAGAGCGTTGTCCCTAACATCAGAAATGCAATGCTGTCACCCCAGTGTGACATCTTCTTGGGGGTGGGGCTTCCCCCCACTGGCCAGTTGGGCTGCGGAAGATTGGGCCTCCCGAAATCAGGGGATCCTCTGGCCCCATCGGGGGAATGGCAACCGTATTCTGTCACAAAGTGGCAATTCTTGTGGAGGGGTGGCATCTGCTACCAAAGTGACACTCTAAAAAAAAATCTGCACAACCGATTAGGAGCCTTGTTAGGCAAAAGCCGCCACCACCCCCGGCTCCAAACACTGCCTGAAACCGCTTGGTAGTTGTCAGATAAGGTGCCAGGAGGTACCCCTGCCGTAGAGACAACATGTTGTATGTGTAAAGGGTAGGCTCGAAGCAGTCTCTTCACCGACCACTGTGGTGCTAAGGTTAGAGCAGGGTTCCCCAACGTGGTGCCCAGGAGCACTGTGCCCCCCACCAGTAGTTCCCTTGGTGCCAGAAAGTGGGCGGGGCCTTTGTAAGGCGTTTCTTGTTACTGGTTGCCAGGGCTTTTTTGTAGAAAAAGCCCAGCAGGAACTCATTAGCATATTAGGCCACACACCATGCCTTCCCTTGGCTTGCCTGAGCGCCCCGCGGCTGTGGGGAGCCCAGGCCGCCCCCCCTTCAAGGGAAGGGAAGGCAGTTTAAATTGCTTTCCCTTGGCTTGCCCAGGCGCCCCGCAGCTGTGGGGTGCCGGGGCAAGCTGGCCCTTGGACAGGCCTGGGGAGGCATGGGGAGGCGTTTAAATGCCTCCCCGATCCTTTCAGGGCCTCGGAGTCGCCGGGGGGCTCGCTCTCCAGGCCTTCCCTCTGTAGCCAGGCACGCAGAGGTTTTGGCTGTAGTGGGCGTGGCCAGGGCTCTTTGTAGGCCACACCCAACAGCAGGAACTCATTAGCATATTAGGCCACAACCCTGACAGCACAGCTCATTAGCACATTAGGCCGCACCCCCATATTACCAGAAGTGTGGTCATCCAGCCACACCCACCTTTTGCTTCTTATTCTGATTACCTTGTTTGTTGTCAACCAGGGCTCTTTTTGTAGCAGGAACCTTTGCATGTTAGGCCACACACCCCTAATGTAACCAGTCCTAATGAGTTCCTGCTGTTGGGTGTGGCCTATTATGCTAATGAGTTCCTGCTGGGCGTGGCCAACTTGGGAGCCAGCCAGAACTCCGTTCCTGTGCGTTCCTGCCCCAAAATAGCCCTGCTGGTTGCCATCTTGCCAATGAAAGGGTTTTCCACTGGAGGATCAGGATGATTGGTGAGCACCCAACCTTTCCTTAGCCAGTGTGTGGTTTCATTCCCCCTTCAGGACCACCTTTCCCCCCACGACCTGTGAGGAGGGACCTATCCACCTTGGCTCTGCCTCCCCTGGCAGCCATTTTGGGGTGTCGCCCACAACTCTCAACATTCCAAAAGTGCCCACGGCCTCAAAAAGGTTGGGGACCCCGGGGTTAGAGTGTCAGGCTAGGGTCTGGGGAACCTGGGTTCAAATCCCCACTCTGCCATGGAAGATCACTGGGCAACCGTGACCAGTCACTCTCTTTCACCTTAACCTGCTCCAGAGGGTTGTCGTGAGGATAAAACGGAGAAGGGGAGACCAGTGTTGCTGTGGCTCCCCACTTGGGGAGAAAAGTGGGGTATCGATCAATCAATAAAATGTGGACTTGGCTGCCGGAGGATGAAGCAGTGGTGGCCACTGGAAGAAGCAGCTGTAAAAGGGGTTTAGATCGATTCATGGAGGAGAGATCTATCAGTGGCTACTAGCCATGGTGACTGAGAGGAACCTCCACCTTCAGAGGCACTCAGGGGAAGGCCTTGGCCTCTGTGCCCTGTTGCGGACCTTCAGAGGGCCCGGTTGGCCACTGTGTGAGACAGGATGCTGGACTCGATGGACCACTGCATCTGATCCAGCAGGGCTCTTCTGGTGCTCTAATCAGGGCCTTGACCTCTCTGCCCTGTTATTGGCCCTCCAGAGGAACTGGTTGAGGCCACTGTGTGAGACAGGATGCTGGACTCGATGGACCACTGCATCTGATCCAGCAGGGCTCTTCTGATGTTCTTGTGAGGGGAAGGCCTCATCCTCTATGCCCTGTTGTCGGCCCGGCAGCAGATCTGGTTGCTCACTGTGTGAGACAGGATGCTGGACTCGATGGACCACTGCATCTGATCCAGCAGGGCTCTTCTGATGTTCTTGTGAGGGGAAGGCCTCATCCTCTATGCCCTGTTGTCGGCCCGGCAGCAGATCTGGTTGCTCACTGTGTGAGACAGGATGCTGGACTCGATGGACCACTGCATCTGATCCAGCAGGGCTCTTCTGATGTTCTTGTGAGGGGAAGGCCTCATCCTCTATGCCCTGTTGCTGGCCCTCCAGAGGAACTGCCTGGCCACTGTGTGTCTGTGGGCCAGGATGCTGGACTAGATGGGCTATTGGTCTCATCCAGCAGGGCTTTTCTTATGTTCTTATGAAGGGAAGTTCCCCATCTCTATGCCCTGTTGTCGGCCCGGCAGCAGATCTGGTTGCTCACTGTGTGAGACAGGATGCTGGACTAATGAACCATTGGTCTGATCCAGCGGGGCTCTTGTTACATTCTTATGTTAGAGAGCCAGCGTGGTGTAGTGCTTAGGAGCAGCGGACTCTAATCTGGAGAATCGGGTTTGATTCCCCCACTCCTCCACATGCAGCCGGCTGGGTGACGTTGGGCCGGTCACAGTTCTCTCAGAGCTCTCTCAGCCCCACCTGCCTCACAGGGTGTCCGTTGTGGGGAGAGGAGGGGAAGGCGATGGTAAGCCACTCCAAGGCTCCTTCGGGTTGTGAAGAGCGGGGTATCAAGCCAACTCTTCACTTTCTTAACTAAATCTCCCACAGCTGACAATCCTTCTTTCTGTTTTCTTCCCACCCCTAGCGTCGATGCCGAAGCTCCGCTGAGCAGACCAGGTAGCCAGGCCTTCAGCCGAGCAAGCAGCATGCATTCCCTCATCCCCTACCAAACACGGAGCGGGGCCCAGTACACTAAAGGCCGCAAGCATATCCCCCCCATCGTTCAGGTAAAGATGACCTCACCCCCTGCCAGTGAATTGAGTCTTATTCTAGCCGCTGATTTCCAATCTCCCGATGTTTCCGATCAGAGCGATGCGCCTGACCCCATCTACACCATCAAGGGGAGGTCGCCCTACACCCCAGTGAACTCCTCCCCCATCTACACCAAGACTAGGCAGTCCAACAACTCGCCTTCCCAAGCCCACATCTACACCGACCCGCGCAATTACAACCCTCCCGCTTCGGACTCAGACAGCACCCAGTGGAACGACGGAAGTACCCCCAGATCTTACAACGGCGCCGTGGTCATGATGCGATCGGCAAGCAAAGAAGGGCTTTTGATATGAGCCCGGGGTGGGGTACGGGTGGGAGGGAACGGGAGGAAGGGTGTGTGTGGAAATGACTCTGACACTGGCAGAAGGCTTTGCCATCTTTCTGCCCTTCAAGTCAGGAAATGAGATTTCAGCCTGTCGGCCCTCATGGAACATGGCCGGTTTACATATTTATTAGGAAAGTGTCATGGAGACCTCCATGGTCCCTAAACAGTGACGTGGGGGAAAGCAGGGAAGGGCTTCTATGGCAAGCAAGTGCTAGACCTTCTTTTATTAAGTGAGCAAGGGGTCTTTTAAACGTTACTCCAGTGCTGCTCTATGAGTGGCTGTTGGGTACCATGTGACTGAAACGATCATGTGAACAATTGCATTGTTCTTCCTTATGGAATCAGCAGCATCCTCTCCCCGCCATGGACAAGCCATTTCCATGTGGGCAGAGGAAAGTGACCACGGGTGGCAGGTTCTCCTATGAGCACCATGTTCCGAGTTGGTTATTGTGTGGCCCTTGGCTCACTCGCCACTTCTCTCCAAGGAAATATAGTCCCACTACTGCCACCAATGTTATGGACTCCCAACTTCACCCAAGCAGTGAAGCAAGCCTGGGGCATCATTTCCTGGGTTTGGTTTCCTTTGGATGAGAGCACTGTTGACTGAGGGGAACCTCCACATTCAGAGGCACTAATCCTCTGAATCCCAGAGCCAGGAGGCAACATGAGGGGAAGGCCTCTGCCCTGTTGTTGGCCCTCCAGAGGAACTGGTTAAGGTCACTGTGTGAGACAGGATGCTGGACTAGGACCCTCACTGGTCTGATCCTACAGGGCTGTTCTTAAGTTCTTATGATTTATGGCATTTTTGTAATGCCTGCTTTATTTCCAAGCGTGTCACAATGTATGTGAGTTCTTTGAGAGAGGTTTCTTCAAGACTATTTTGGATCTCAGGCCACGATGCCAAATTCTCTCAGACCTACATCTGATAGGTTATAGCACTGATATGTAGCAGGTGTTTTTTTTTTTAAATGAATGGTTCTCACAACAAAATAAGAAATTAAAATAGTAAATAAATGGTATAGAGCATATAGTATTTGATTCACATATTACAAAGTGCTCGGGTCTTGCACGTCCTATCAAGATACCTTTTGTGGGAGTTTCATGCTTGGAACTTAATGCCCAGTTGCGTACAAGTCTGATTTGGATTGAATCTGTGGTCCAAGGGGGGGGGGAGGCTTAAGTCTTCTCTCTGTGCTGTTTTCTCAACCTGGAACAGCCCCGGAGGCCTCTCTTTTGCTCTGTTGGGGAGACTTATATGTATCCCAGGGGTCATTTCCTGCAGGAGTGCACAGGAGCGGAGCTCCGGCAGTAAAGAGCCCAGGGGGCGGGCACATGCAACAAGCCCCACCCCCTGCTCCCAGCAGCCCTCAGTCAGAGCAAGAAGCAGCCAGGTAAACTGCAGAGCCCCCCCCCGGCCCCCCCCGGTCCAAAACAGTCCAGTGGCACCTTTAAGACCAAGTTTTATTCAGGCACAAGCTCTCCCTCCTCTGCGAGGACAGATCTGCACGTCCCCCCATCCCCCAATAGCTAGCAATCCAAAACAGTCCAGTGGAGCCTGAGCGGTGGGTGTTGCCTTCTGACACACTTCCGGTGATGTCAGGAGGTGTGGCATATGCAAATAAGTTATGCTAATGAGTTATGCTAATGTGCTCCTGCACCTGTTTTTCTACAAAATGACCCCTCATTATCCCAACAAATAAGTTCCTCCAAAGGGACAAGAATTGGGGACCTTTCTTCCTGTAGACTGTGGGCCCAATCCAAGTCGGGCCTGCTTGCACCCAGCAATTATGTTGTAAGCATAGTTTCAAAGAGTAGCCATATTGGTCTGCAGTAGAACAGCTAGGCTGAAGTCCTAGTGCCCTAGGGAGCCAGTTTGATGTGGTGGTTAACAGCAGTGGACTCTATTCTGGAGAACCGGGTTTGATTCCCCACTCCTCCACATGCAGCCAGCTGGGTGACCTTGGGCCAGTCACAAGTTCTCTCAGAGCTGTTCTCTCAAGAGCAGTTCTCTCAGAGCTCTCTCAGCCCTACCTACCTCACAAGGTGTCTGTGGTGGGGAGGGGGAGGGAAAGGAGATGGTAAGCCGCTCTGAGACTCCGAGTGAAGGGTGGGGTGTAAATCCAATCCTTCTTCCAATTCCTTTTCCACATGCAGCCAACTGGATGACTTTGGGTCAGTCACAGTTCTCTCAGAGCTGTTCTCTCAGGAGCAGTTCTCTCAGAGCTCTCTCAGCCCTGCCTACCTCACAGGGTGTCTGTCGTGGGGAAAAGAAGGGGAAGGAGATTGTGAGCCGCTCTGAGACTCCTTTGGGTAGTGAAGGGCATGGTATAAATCCAGTCCCTTCTTCCTCTTCCACATGCAGCCAGCTGGATGACCTTGGGTCACTCACAGTTCTCTCAGAGCTGTTCTCTCAGGAGCAGTTCTCTCAGAGCTCTCTCAGCCTCACCTGCCTCACAGGGTGTCTGTTGTGGGGAGAGGAAGGGAAGGCGATTGTAAGCTGCTCTGAGACATTGAGTGAAGGGCAGGGTATAAATCCAATCTCTTCTTCCTCTTCTGAGAGACCCACAAGACTTGGTTGGGTGTAAGCTTTTGAAAGTCAAAGCTCCCTTTTGTCAGGAATGGAGATCCCTCAGCCCTTATATCCTCCTCCAACTTTCTGTCTGGGCTATAAAAGGGATCTCCATTCCTATTTTGTATCTGAGGAGGGGAGCCTTGACTCTCAGAAGCTTATTCCCCGGAAATCTTGGTGGTCTCCATGGTGCTACTGGACTGGAATCCAGCTGTTCTGAGCACAAAATTCATAGAGCACATCTGGTCAATGGGAGGACTTTGTAATGTGTGAATTGGCCCTGGCCCCTGGGATTGTTCGTACGTTATCGTCCAGGAGGAGCTAATGTGTGTTTAGGATGTGGCCTTGTGCTCTCTGGCCTTCCCTCTGCACTAATTGTATATGCACATTATAAAAGGAAATGCAAATTCTATGGAGGCATATCTCCCTATCTGAAAACAGGAAAAATCCACCACAGTCATTTCAGAGAGACTGTAAACTCTCTGTCGCAAGATCCGTTTGTGGATGTGCTCTCTCTGTCTGTACATTATCGCTGTTGAACATTCATCCATTTGCAAGCCCTTTTGATAGCAAATGTGTTTATTTTGAACCCGTGACGGTCCAGGAGACTGTTTTTATAACTGTACACAAGATTCAGTATTATTATTTGTCTTAATTTCTCTGTGTTATAAGATTTGTATGTGGTTAGTCTCCTGCTGTCCTTTTAATATGGATAATTTTATTTTTGCCAAGATAGACTTCTGGAGGGAAAAAAAAGATTGTATAGATTGAACAGTATTGGACTTCCAAATATTTTTGTGGTTAAATAAATCTGCTGTTGCCCCTTTAAGACTGTGTCTCGTTTCTAGAGCAAAGGGGGTGGAGTTACATTGGTGTCAGAACCCACAGCTAACAACGAAGTACACACATTCAGGAACGGTTATACTTTTATTGCAAAGCTGTAGATGCAGTAACACAGGCACTGTTAAGAATGGCAGCAACCCATAGAGCCTAATAGGATATAGGGTATTCATATGCACACACACACCCCCCCATGGCATGGGCCAATTAGAAGAAGAAGAGAAGAGATTGGATTTATACCCCGCCCTTCACTTGGAGTCTCAGAGTGGCTTACAAACTCCTTTCCCTTCCCCTCCCCACAACAGACACCCTGTGAGGTGGGTGGGGCTGAGAGAACTCTGACACAAACTGCTCTTTTTCAAGCTGTGCCAGAGCTTGTGACTGATCGAAGGTCACATCAGCAGGTACCCTCCCGTGCGCGGGACAAGTTAGGAAACCGTTAGGTGGCCAAAGCTGGGAATTAGGAGTCTCTCACGGTACATAGGAGACTTCCAGACAACACAACCTCCTCCTGCACATCTGTAGAGATAAGCGTTTCAGCAAAGGCATACCAATGGTCCCTCTAAGCTGTGGAGTCTTGTGAGCAAACACTCTACTTTGTGAGCCACTGGCATTTAAGTTGTGAGCCAGCAATTTGGCTCCTGCATAAATTACTTTGCTCTGGAGCCCTCCTTCCTGAGCTAAGACAAAAATGTGTGAGCCGGAGGCTAAAAAACTGTGAGCTAGCTCACACTAACTCAGCTTAGAGGGAACACTGGGCATAATAGCAGGGATAGGAATGCAATAGCACTTAACAAGATACCGAATGAACTCCCCAACCCCCATGGCAGCATAGCTGACAATTGGGTCTGCTTCAACTGACCAGCTTGGCAAAAGAAGTTCAATTTACGAAGAATCTGGTGGGAGTTTTGGAGCGGGAATGTGGGAGGGGTGCCCTATGCACCACGATATCTCTTCCAGGGGAAACCTGGAATTTAGGTTGGGTAGCTCTAGGAGTTGCAGGAGACTCTGTGGTAAAACCATAGAGCTTCCAGAGATTCCTAGAGCTGCTCAAATCACCCTGGGGTTTTCTCTGGAAGTGATGTTCCAGCGCACAGGATGCCAATGTTATTTTTTTTCCCCCTGCTTCCACTCAGAGCAGTGGCAGGCAAAGAGGTCTGCTAGCGGGAGACCTGAAAAAGTGCTTACTTTGGTGCTTTCTTTTGTCTTCATGTATCATTTAAAAAATTTAATTATGGCCAGCTAGGGTTGCTAGCCACTGACTGGCAACTGGCGGGAGTCGAGGGGGCAGGGACATGGGGGTCGCTGTTCTTAAAGGCATTGCATCACCTTGGGGGGGGGGAGACCTGGAAGTGAAGTCATGCCTATCTAGGAATCACCAAAAAAAGCCTCTATGGTAAAACTCCATGCTTTCCCTGGAAGTGACATCACATCAGCACAGCCCCTCCCCCCCATTATTTTTCTCCTGCCAGCCACAAGTGCAGCAGTAGGAAATGGGAACCCAGGGACGGAGAAATCTTGCCCTGAGCAGG